CGGATTCAGTCAGCGGGAGGGCGAAATTAAGCCATTGCACTCGTATCGACCTCGCGTGCAAAAGCCCCATCATCACTACAAACAATTTCGAAGATTCACCTTCAATTTTCAGATCTAGGATTTACTATTCAAACCCTAGATCTCAAAATATGTTTAATGGTTGTTCGTCTGTGCAATTGATCTGTGAATTTGGTATGTAAATTTATCTTTTCTTTCTCTATTTTTTGTTTTTTCTCAAATATGTTCAAACCCTAGACCTCGCCGTATCCGAGCGCCAACCTCCGTATCTGACCCGTATTTCGTACCCGGATCGGTGTCGGGTCGGATCGACACCGGTACGGCGGTCAAACTGCCGTGTCCGAGTAACGTAGGCTGTGGTGTTAACCTGACTGTCCAGTGTCGAACAATGCCCTTGTGATCACAGAACTCTTTGAAGACACCATCTGTATACTCTGTATCGTTATCAGATCTCAGTGTCTTTAATTTCTTGCCTGTCCTGTTCTTAACCATTGCTTTTTACTTATTGAATGTCTCGAATACCTCATTCTTATGCTTAAGAAAATAAATCCAAGCATATCTTGAATGATCATCTACGAGTGAGACAAAATACCTGGAACCACCCTTGGAAGTTGTCTGAGCCGGACCCCAAACATCCGTGTGCACATAATCTAGTATACCTCTGCTCTTGTGATTGCTTTTTAAGAACTGGACCTTGTGCGTCTTTCCATACACAATCCTCGTAAAAATCCATATAAGTTTTCTTCAAATTCTTCACCAGACCCTCCTTACTAAGCAGAACTAGACCCTTCTCTGACATGTGCCCAAGCCGTCTATGTCATAATCGTGTGTGCTCATACGGGTCTCCACCACTTCCTTCAGTTCCAACCGCTGCATCTCTCGTCACCGTCGTACCTGAGAGAGTATATAAATTACCGTGACGAACACCATTCATCACTACAAAGGAACCCCGAACAACCCTCTTTACTCCGTTCTCTGTAACAATCCTACAACCACCGAAATCAAATGCACTAACTGAGATAAGATTCTTCCGCAAGTCGGGAACGTGCCTCACATCAATCAAGGTTCGGACCACTCCATCATGCATCTTGATCTTGATATTACCTGACCCTACCATTTTACAAACATGATTGTTCCATAGTAATACGGATCCACCATCAATGCTTCTGTAGATAGTAAACCACTTCCTATTTGGGCACATGTGGTAAGAACAACCTGAATCAAGAATCCACTTTCAGGAGATATCCTCGCCACCCGTAATAACATAACATTCCTTCTCGCTCCCTCCCTCTGAAACATAGCTCGCTTATTTCTTGCATTCTCTCCTCTTAGTCTTGTTGTTCTTCTTCCCACCTACTCTCTTATTTGGATAGTCGACCTTGAATTGCCTAACTTCATCGTACTTCCCGCAAGAGATCTTGATTTAGATCTAGACTTTCCTCCCTTGTCTTTTCCTCGTTCGTTGCTCCTTCCTCTAATAAACAATCCCTACGCTTGTTCTTTGCTACCACCAGTAGTCATGTCACTGGTTGTAATCTTTCGAAGGTCATCCGCTAGAAGCGTCGTTCTAGTCTCATCCATCGTCAAATTGTCTCCCACAAGCATCAATGTTTGCACCAAGTTCTCATAAGACTTCGGTAGAGATAGAAGTAGTAGAAGAGCCTGATCCTCGTCTTCTACAGTCACATCGATGACCTTCAGATCCAATATTATCCTATCGAACTTGTTGATGTATTCCCGGATTGATGAGCCCTCCATCTTGCAAGTATACAATTTGGATTTTAAATAGACCTGGTTCGTTAGACTCTTCATCATGAAGGTACTTTCTAACTTCGATCACACTCCCGCAGCCGTTTCCTCTCCATCTACCAAGAAAGCTACATCTCTTTCAAAGCAAAGGATAATCGATGCTCGTGCTTCCAGATCTAGCTCCTCCCAATCCTCATCAGACATATCCTTGTGCTTCTTCTATTTTTCAGCTAAAGCCTTGTGTAATTTTTGCGAAATCAACAAATTCTTCATTTGCATCCTCCAATAGGAAAAATCGTTCTTCCCATTGAATTTTTTAATCTCGTACTTTCCAACTTTAACTGTTTTGCTAGTTGACGTCATCCTCCACTTGTATTAATAAATGCGCTTCTCTCAGGAATTCCAACAAACACTTGTGTTCACCACACAATAATCAAGCATCACCTCAGATCAAAAATTTTACCACCTCCAATCTGAATAAAAGGTTCTGATACCAATTGTTGGGCGCAGAGTCACGTCCTCCTGTCGCGGAAGCGATATCACTTGAGAAATAGCTCTGACTTTTGTTATCACAAAAGTACAAGCCAACCTCTATATTCTCGTTTCTCAAAGGAAACAAGAATAAAAAGTAAAATATCTCAACAAAGTAAAATATACACTCTCGGTAAACTTGCCTACGTCCACGGGGAGGGGGGGGGGAGATTCCACTATGAGGGGAACACCGACGACTTGTACAATCCACAAGCTCGTCTCAAAGAAAAGAGATCTGATTTTTACCAAAAGAAATTAACCTCTCTTTTGTAGAATCTCTCTTTTTCTCTCCTGAAAATCTCTCTGCTTTTTCTCTCAAAAACAGCCGCAAGAAATCCCACTATCGTCTGCGTTTTTCCCCTGCTCAGCCGCCAAAGCTCTGTAAGCAGTCGGCAAAATCCCACACAAAACCCTAGGAACAGAACCATGTTCCTATTTATATCCGAGAAAACCCTCTGCTGTCAACCTAAATACCCACTATACATGTTGTGGGTCCACTGCATAATTGTGTGCAGCGGTTCACGCGGAAAGAAAACTTAGCTGTTCACGCGGAAAGAAAAGATAAACTCACGTGGGTGTGGCCCACGTTCACATAAGCACATCTCAAAATTTTTATCAGCAATCCATTAATCTTCTTTGTAAAGTTTTGATTTTTTTCAAATCATGCTAATAATATCTTGACTTTTAAATGTTTATTATCAAACCATTGCTTTTTTATTTATTAATACATGCATGTTCTATTATTAAATAACATGCTTAGTAGTATAAGATAATCTGTTGGAATTTATCTATGCAGAGCTCTTGTCACCATAATCTAGGTATATCGCACATTTTGCCTCATTCCGAACACAAAACATATTTCACCTATCAACAAAGAGAATTATCCATTGATAATTATTATATTCCAAATTAAATTGAATATAAAAGATAATTTTCACTCACTAATGTTATATTTATATCCAGTGGATTGAACACGCCTTAGGCAAAAAATTAACGCATTCAAAATGCTAGAGAAAACAAACATCCATAGTTCAAATTGATACTAACCTCATTATCATCATCAATTTCTTGTGTATCAAAGATTCCACCGTCATTCTTCTTAGCATATATGTCGGTATTAAACCCATCCAAGAAGCATGTCTTCTATCCTATATCATATAAACCAGATCCAAATCTTTGATACCTTACCATGCTTATCCTTATACTCCTTTTTTATCCAAAGAATCTATGTACCCAAATTAGAAAAATCAAAGAAATAATATTACAGAAAAAGAAGATAGATAAGTTTGTTTACCTAGGCCCACCAAGCACACCCGCATTTACAGTTGATCGATCACCGCTGCTGATTTGGACTTGACGTTCTCATCCTTTGCACACTTTGCTTCCAATCTTGCACTCAACGACACCAAGAAAACACTATTCACCATTATGTCCCGTTTCGACCTTCAATTCTAGCCCGTCCTCTCGTCTTCATCCATGTTGATTGTTAGACTACGCTTCGTGTGGAATCTGGTGACACAGAACACTACAACCACCATCCGTCAAGGCTCAACGTCATGCTTAACACAAAAGTTGATGCATTTTGATAAGTCATGTGCAAATGAAGCTCCTAGTACCATTTTTTGTTTGCTTTTCCTGGCCACATTCTCCTCCCTAAATTTAAGGTGAAAGTTGCATTAATGGAGATGAGTGTAGATCTAACGCATGCATTAAGAGAGAGTGGTGAAATTGATTGCAAAGTAATGGAGATTAATGAATAGAATTAAGGAATATTGAAATTTTAGGTGAGTGATTAAATAGAAAAGTGATAGATTGTTAATTAAGAGGTTAGGAATGTGAGGAGGCTATAGGTGAGTGCTTTAATGAGTAAAATTTAGATTTTTTTATAATAAAAATTATTAACCTACTCAGCAGTAAACATACCACGCCTCATACATAACACCCTAATTACAGACATACAATATCATACTACTACATTATTGTACATAGTTCTTTGCTTATAATATAATGAATAGTATAATATAATGTAATTTCAACCTATTCCATGGTGAACATACCACGCCACACACATAACCCCTGTTAATATACCACACCACACATAAACCTCCAATTATAGAGTATACAATATTACACTACACTGTACATATTTTCTTTGAGCATGATATAATCTGTACTATAATATAATTATAATATAATGTACAGTAAAAAATAATTTTAAAAAATTACTAATTAGTAAAACTATCCATATTTTAGTAGAAAATAGATATATCTAATAATAACTAATTAAGTTGATTTAATAAGATTTGGGGTTATGAGAAGAATTTGAAGGGTTGTAATTTATTTATGTAACATATGCATGTGATCATGTATGTATGTGTGTATGTGATGTGATTATATATGCATGTGTGCGTTTTATATGTTCATGTGTATGGTTTGGAGGATATTTTTGAAAGAAATGTTTTAACATACCAACACACTTTTATACTTTTATAATAGTATTAGATATGTATATGTGTATGTATGTATATGTATATATGTGTGAGTGTGTATACATATACATATACATAAATACACACACACACACACATTATATACACACACACACACACACACACACACTCATACACACACACACAGTGTATTTGCAATGTCTTTTTAGCTTAAACTTTCTAATATTTCTTCTTGAATGTGTCCTTTTGCAGACAGATGACTTGCAAGATCATATCATTATTTGTGGATTTGGACGGGTTGGACAGGTCATTTATCATCCTATTTCTTGTTCACTAGGTACAATCCTTTGAGACTAATTTTAATTAAAATTTCTTGTGGGTTTGTCCTTACATAATTGTGGTTGTAATAGATCATTGCACAACTTCTTTCTGAACGGTTAATTCCATTTGTTGCTCTCGACGTTAGAAGGTATGCTTCTCTGCCTTTATGTTTAATGAACTGTTTCAAATAATGATTACACTTGGTAAAGGAAAACTAAAGATGACACAATTGTGCATATGGATACTCGCTCACATATGCATGCCTGAATTCACATGGAAGAGACACATTCACATTCTGTATCAAAGAGAATTACTGTTGACAGTTGGGTACTTAACGAAGAAATATTGATTATGCAAAGCATCTCATGATGAGGCATAAGAATATCACATATCAGATTATTTGGTTGGATGGTGAGTTCTAGCAAGTATTAGCCCTGTACTTCTCTACTCGCATTTTAAAAGCTTTAGTTTTATTCTACAATCTAATACTTAGTAGTAATGCCTAAAAATAAATAATTCTCTTTTGCTAGTTACAATGTATGCACATAGACTAGCAGAACTCTTGCTTACCAAAAGAATAAAGAATAAAGAAAAAGAAAAGAAGCTCGAACTTGCTTGAATAACAATAGAAAAGGCTGTCTTCCTTATTCTTCCATGTACTCTTCTATGCTTATCAAACTTTCAATCTCTCATTGCTGTCTCTTAGCAACCTGGGATGACATTTCACTACACGTAAAAATAATTTCCTCGATCATGGGAGCACATGATACTTGAATAAAATTAGTTTACTTCTTTTTTAACAGTGATCGGGTAGCAGCTGGGCGTGCATTTGACCTACCTGTGTATTTTGGGGATGCAGGGAGCCAAGAGGTAAGTGAAATATCTCTGATGCAATTGTACACTTTATGTAAATAGTTTTGATTATATTTGTTTAATTTAATGCAGGTCCTCCATAAAGTTGGATCAGAGAGAGCCTGCGCTGCTGCAATTACTTTAGATACTCCGGGTGCAAACTATAGAACTGTTTGGGCACTCAACAAGTACTTCCCCAAAATGTGAAGACATTTGTTCGTGCCCATGATGTAGATCATGGCATTAATCTGGAGAAAGCTGGTGCAACTGCTGTAAGTTACACTTAATATATCATCTGCATTCGATGTCAAGAGTGGGTCATTATAAGCATCAACTCCTAACCATATATGTAGTTAGTCAACTAAAATGGATGTTATTTATAATCTAACAAATTCCTGTGTTTCAAACTCTTTTAAAGGTTGTTCCAGATACTCTGGAACCAAGTCTCCAGTTAGCAGCTGCTGTTCTTGCACAGGTAAAAATGAAACTAGCTACAGCTGGTGCTGAAACTATTTGAACTCAAGCTTTTCTTTTTAATGACCCAGTACTTCACATTTTATTTTTCTTGTCATCCTCTTGCAGGCTAAGTTGCAATGTCAGAGATTGCAGCAACAATCAATGAATTCAGATCTCGTCATCTCTCAGAGCTTACGGAGGTACACACTCAATTATCATGTCCATTTCTCTATTCAACCTGCCTCTGTATGTATGATTTCTATGCAAATTAAGAGATGAAAGAAGCTGACCATATAAGTTAGGAATCCTTGTCACTTAATGTGAGATAGACAAAATTTTAGGGACATTCAAAAGATCATATTGAGGATAAACTTGTTAAACTGTACCATTTTAACTGAGAAACTTGTTGCTAAAAAATGATCTCTAATTCCGAGCGTAAATCAAAGTCAGAAGTGGAGGACATAGAACAAAATGTAGGGGAAAGGATTCATATGCGTACCCTGTCATATTAATCAAGTATGCTTATTACACGTTTAGAACCCAATCTGTTATCGGCAACATTAAAATTTGTCCATGAGATGTTTAGGCAAGAGAGTTTAAAAGGGTCACATGGCCATTTTAATCCTTTTAGGTCACCTTAAACCATGTGGGCTTTCTATTTTGGTGCTTTCTTTATTGTCGGTACTTTCCCATAGACATGGTTTGCTTTAGTCTTTGCTTCAAGCACACAATGCGATGGGTGATGCGCGAAGCATTAACTATACAATTTATGGTTTTTGACTTCACTATGATGCGAAATCAAGATAAAGAAGTTTCCTTAACTGTCGCCTGTTTTCTATCTGCATCTACGCCAGACTAGTGGAGGCCCCCTTGGATATGGATATTCACGGGTTACGTCGAAGTCCGAGACACCTATCTCAGGCGAAGAGGATGATGTTGTTGAAGGGGCCTTGGCTATATAGCCATATATACATGAATTTGGATATACCAAAAATTTCAATAATTGTACAGCTAATAAGTTCATTCCAGCAGCGGAAATCGTATAGAAAAAGGGTTTTGTACAGTTCACAGTTTTGTTTTTTTTTTTTAATGCAAATTTTACCGAGGCAATTATTGAGCTTGCATCTTTGGTCCTCATTTCAAGTTCTCATGTTTTCAACTTTGAGGTGCTGTCAAATGTTCAATTGGGTAATTTGGGACTGTACTAATCATATTTCTTCCTTCGATTCTAAGCAAAATCCTTTTTAGCTTTATCTCATCAAAAATGCCTTAGGGACCTCAAATAGGGGACCCAGGGGGATATGTGAGGTGCCACCCTGAATGCATGATGCCCTGTTCATTGGTGACACCTCACATATCCCCTATTTGGGGTTCTTGTAGCAATACCCTTTTTTCATTGATTGACTAAACTATTATGATCTTTTACAGTTAATAGTATTTTATAGTTTTTAGTACACGTGGTCAAAGTATTTCAGTTGATTTTCTCATTTATTTTTCAATTGATTGATTATAATGTTATCGCTTTTTAAAGTAATATTTTCGTCCTTTATCCTTTTTTTTCTTTTTATATGCTGCCTCGTAATTGTCCACGATAATCTGAAAATAAGCAAAAATTGGAAGTGGTCAGAAAATAAGCAAAAATTGGAAATGATCAGAAAATAAGCAAAAATTGGAAAGAAAGGCCCGGTTTCGGCCCACTTCTACAAGATAAAACCGCGGCCTCGACGTTTCCAACAGAGAGAGCTCTCACTTTATCTGAATGATCCACTCACCGCCCACTCCCCTTCTCCACCCCCCGCTTCGCGCTCACTGAAACCGCGCCCGGTCACCGGCGGTGAACATGGGCGTCACGTGAGGGGCCAGAGCTCGATAAGTGGGACCAGATGGAGCTCAAGTTCGGTCGCCTCCTCGGCGAAGACCCCAAGCTAACCCTCGCCAAGGTAATCCAAATTTATCCAATTACAAGAATAGTTTTTTTTTTTGTCGCCCCTCTTCAAACTTGTATATACAGCGTAAATCGACCGTATCAGTGAATTTATCACAGTTCTAGATATTTGCTAATTTACACCTCGAAATTCTACCACATTTGAGTTAAAACGCCCTCAAACGAAATGTACCGGGACTATTTCTTAACATAATTATTTTTTGTATAATTCAATGTGGTTAGTGTAGCTGGAATGAGAATGTTAAAGATGGTCTTGCGGATTTATACTAAGAGATAGGATAAGGTTAGAGGAAGATGTAAATAAAACTTGGTCCACACTAAACGCAATCAAGAAGAATAAATAAATTGAGGAGATGGCCCAAAATAGAACTGAATGGAAGAATATGATTCATGTAGCCAAACCCACAATTTTGGGATAGTGTCATTGTTGTTTTTGTTTAACTCCATGCGGTAGTGGGGGCTATATTTAGCAAATATCTAGATTCAGAGAGTACATTTGCAGATATGGTTGATTTGGGGTGTATATGGACAAAAAACAATTCTATGACCATATGCTTCATTATTGTCTTTTTTTTGTGTGTGTAAAAAGTTGTATCTTTTGTGAGTTAGATAATGGCAAGAAAGGCGAACCCAGATGCGTCTTATCTCGAAGTAGAGAAGTCATTTAACAAGAATAAAGGAAAATTGGATGAGAGCATGTTTAACATTCCCAGCAATGTGAATGTAGAAAGACTACCTTCTGATTTGAACTTGTCACGGCCCGTTATGAAGAAAGGAGGCAGGACTACTGCTGACTTAAATTTGTTGCGACCAGTCATGAAGAAAGGGCCAAATGCTGCTAGACCAGTTGAAAGGCCTGTTATGACTGAGGCGCAGAAGAATCAATTGCAACGGGATGTTGCCAACAAGAGCGTGACTCCTCCTAATGTTTCCTTGAGAAAACCGGATGTTTTTCAAGAAGATGAGGTTGAAACTGATAAGCGTTCAAAGATGAAAATCAAGCCGAACATAGTCTTGAAAATGAGGAAGGATAAGGATGAAAATCTTGACGACGTAACTCTTTTAAAGAAGCCCGAGGTGGTCCAGAAGCCTTTGGACCCTGATCAAGAGAACATGATAGCTAGTGGACCTAATCAAGCAAGCTCTAGTGAGGTGAAGCCTTTGAGTCCAAGTGAGATGTTACAAGATAAACCGGAGATGATTAATGTAGTAGAACCTTCAGATAGTGTTAGCGAATCCATTGCTAAGTCGTCCAATTTAGATGGATCGGATACGGGTAAAATTCTACTTGATTTACTCTGTTCACAGCTTTGTAGTTTAAAACTCTATTGCATATTGAACTATTACCAATATGCAGCTCTGATGGTCAATGTTGTACTTGATTTTTCAAGGATTGCAGCCAACTGAGGAAAGAGGCGTTGAATCTCACGGTGTTGAAGCTTCCTCTACAGTTTTGGATGACATGTCGGTGAACAACAATAACGAGGGCTCTCAAAAAGCTCCACTGCTAGGAAAACCCCAGAGGTCTGTGCGGTGGTTTATTTACTACTTGCAATATCTACCAATTCTAAACATGCCAGAGGTTTTTTCCCTATAGTTGTGAGCATTCATAGATGTTATATCTCAGCTTGATACCTTAATGGGAATGTTCTCGCTTACCATCTCAATACTAGTCTATGTTCTTGATGGAACATCATGCAGAGCATTATAACTAATTGTTGATTGATTAGAATGTATTACTACTACATAATATTATACCTAAGGCTAAGTTTTATTATAGTGTATTATGCAAAATGAGCTTTATGATCTCAAGTACACAAAGCCAAATTGTTCTACACTGGACAGCTGCATTATCCTTGACCATTTATACTTCTTTCTATACTAGATGTTCAACATTTTTGCATTTTACTTATTTATTTATTTTCACATACATGCAATTAATGTTCTCTACAAGATTTGTATAAATTTTAAGTTTTAACCCTTATCTTTCATTTGTCTGCAATTCACCTGGACCAGGCCCCAAGCACCTCCGGGTCATATTTGACTAGCATTAACTTATGTCAATATTTATGTATTGTTAAATATATATGTTAAAATTAATATAAAACTATAATCCTTGATCCTCACCATAACTTCGGAGTTCTGGTTTAATGGTTAGAGGAACTAAATTTAAGATGGTATCAGAGCAAACCAGGTTCAAATCCCACGAATTAAATGCGGATTTTCTAAAAATTGACACCGCTACTTGAGTTCAGGTTTCGACCCATAAAAAAATGGCGCTCAACCTGCGGGGGCATGTTAGAATTAATATAAAACTATAATTCTTGATCCTCACCATAACTTCGTAGTTTTGGTGTAATGGTTAGAGGAACTAAATTTAAGAATATACATATATCAGCTAATATTGTGATACCTGCAAAGGTCCAAATGATATCCACCCTTTTATATGATTTTAACCCTTATCTTTCCTTAGTCTGCAGTTCTGCTGGACTAGAGTACCAAGCACCTCCGGATCATATTTAACTTATTAATATTGTATGTGTTGTTAAATATATACATATATCAGTTAATATTGTGATACCTGCAAAGGTCCAAATGATATCCACCCTTTAGCTCTTTGTGTCAGTAAAACTCAGTTTTCCTTTCCTGATTTGTTTATAACTATTGCTAAGTTTTCCCGCTTATTATCTTATTCATGAATATCTTCAACTGTCTTGCTGCATGTTGCATTCCATCTTTGTTAGCTTTGTGTATGATGCTAAATTGCAGGCTGGACTCATCTGTGAAGAAGGTATTGCAGCCAACTGGAGAAGTGACTTCTAGCATGAAGGAAGAGGGCCATAGCTCTGGTGCTGATATGGTCAATCCAGTATCAGCAGAACAAGAGGTAAAATTGGGTCATCCTCGATCATTTTCATTTTCATTTTAATTATCAATTATACAAGAGAACTACATTTTTCTTAAGAGAACTACATAGATGGCGCTAAAGTGGATTCCTCACACTGATAATGCAATTCTAAATTATACCTTTCTTAAAAGAAGAAGATGGTTAACTTGGGAATTGCAGGAACGCGAGGGTAATGACTGGAACAAGGCGGAAAATTTAATTCGCACAGGAGAAAGAACTGAAGTTGAACTGGTTAGCTGCAGCAGCAGAGGCTTTGTTGTGAGTTGACTTATACTTAATATATCCAATGTGTGCATTTATTGTTTCTGAAAGTCACCACGTTCCGTTACTGCTCTTTCTTAATTCTGCTCAGGTATCCTTTGGGTCGATAGTAGGCTTCTTACCATATCGAAACCTTGGTGCCAAATGGAAGTTTTTGGCTTTTGAGTCTTGGTTAAGGAAAAAAGGTTTGGACCCCTCATTATACAGGCAAGATCTAAGCATTATCAGGAGCCATGATATGCCAAACAAGAACATTGTTATAGAATCTGGTAAAAGTCATGAAATGGGTGACAAAGATGACGAATCGCTGACGCCTAATATGAAATTTGAAGATCTTCTCAAGGCATATGACAAAGAGAAGACCAAGTTCTTGACCTCCTTTGTTGGTCAGGTCTGAAGAGCTTGTCTTGTGTTAGTATACATTTCTTCTCATGATGTTGGTCTAAATTTTAGCAGTACTGATGGTGACTCTGTTGGCAGAGGATTAAAGTATCTGTCCTGCTGGCTGATAGAAATTCCAGAAGACTAATGTTTTCAGGGAGGCCAAAAGAAAAGGAAGAATTGGTTGAGAAGAAGAGAAATCTCATGGTATGCAGCTGTTTTACCAAGTAAACCTTTAGAATAAACCTCTGCTACTACTTTATGTGTGCAACCATTCTTTTGGGTATTATATAATGGGACTGGGATGGATTTACCTAGAAGATTCAATCATTTCATATAAAAGTTCCATTATTTGTATTCTTTACTTGTTTATGCTTATGATTCTTCAATGACTGTTACTTTGAGGTCTTCAATTAAGTCTTGTTTAGTGGCAGCAAATAACCACAAACATCTCCCTCTGTATTGTTTGTTTCATGAATTGTTAACTGTTATGACTTAACAAGGATTAGGCTGCCTTCTAAGGGAATTCTTCTAGTACTATTATCCACAACTTCAATTTTAACTTTGAAGAATCCTAGCATACTCTCTCGTTTAGCCTAAGTAATGGAGCTAACTGTTGATAAAGATTTCGTTCATTGGTCTTGTTCCAATCTTTTATCTCAAGAAGATGAGGAACTATATTATTATTATTATTGTTGTTGTTGTTGTTGTTGTTGTTGTTGTATTTCATACGAGAAAAAAAGTGTCCACGGTCTCTCTCAAGAAAAAAATATGCCCAATAACTTTCTAGGCCAGTTAATATATTTGTAGTGCATATTTTTGATATTTGATCCTTTGTGTTAGACTGATCTTACTTACTTCATACTGTTTATTTATTGTCTTTTTACACATATACTTACCTTCATGTTGGGTCCTATAAAGGAGTTATTATCTAGCCAGTTTTATGATGGTTAATTTTGCAGGCTAAACTCAGTGTAGGGGATGTTGTGAAAGCCTGTATCAAGAAAATTACGTACTTTGGCATATTCGTCGAGGTAGCCATATCATGCTTTGTTTCTCCTTAGCATGACTGAAATTTCTTTCAGGTCATTTTGCAAACTAATTTAATTCTTTACAGGTAGAAGGAGTACCTGCATTGATTCACCAATCAGAAGTCTCATGGGATGCTTCTTTGGATCCAAATTCCTACTACAAAATTGGCCAGGTATTTTGGTTTGCAATGAACCAGTATGTATTTGATCATTTATATCGTCCCTTAGGACATGATTATATTAAAAAACAATGAAGACCTTCAGGTGTAACTGGCTTAGAGATATATACACTGGAGTTGGCATGTTAACTGCTTATCCCTAAGAAGCATTATGGATAAGGGACATGGGTATGACACAGACCTGCATACCAGAGACAATAATTCCTTAAAAGGAAAGACATGAGGACACAACAATTCTATATACATTATACAACAATTAAGAATGAATTCATATATACATTTATACATAGACACTTCAGTGCTCGAAAAACTCCATAACATTGTCTCTAGTTATAGCTAAATATCTAATAGAATCATCATAATGAAATAAAATCATTATAATCTTATCAACTTGATGTATTGATGGCCTTGTTTTGATGCCGAAGTTGTCGAAACCGCCGAAGGCAAGCATGGATGCGGCAAAACCCCCTCGGTGGCCACAAGGTCTAGGTTCTCTAGGATCAAGAACTAGGGTCTGATAACATCTAGAGAAAAAGAGAAAATGCTAACGAGGCCTATCTGATATGTGTCTGAGGAGTGTTTGGAATGTATCCAAGATGTTCCTGAGGAAGTATCGGTATGCTCGACACAGGTGTCAGCTTTATTATAAAAGTACATACACTACACAGGTTTGTCATAAGGAGATTTTTCATGGACCTTCACAAACTGAACATGTAAAACATAGACCAACATTTGGATGGAGACCTTTTTTTTGCTTAGGAAGATATCTTTCTAAAGGAGAGAGAGAATTATGAGATAATGGTGGAAAGTTAACATTGTGCAAGTTAACCATCTTTGCAGTAGCTATGGTGATACGCTGATACTTTTTTGACACAACGCATTCAACATTTTTTTATGTTGAAACAGCATAAGATTTTTTTCTGCATCTGTCTTTTTTATGATCATTCATTTGTTACTAGAATATGAGAATATTGTGCAGAAGGTAAAAGGTAGCGTCCACGTTTTTCTGTGTTGAGATGCGTATAATTCATAGGAATTTGTCATAAGGCCTTTACCCATAGCAGAAACTATGCAGCTGCTGCCTTGCAATAAACTGATTTTGTGGCTTATTCGCTCTTGTTTATTGCTTTTTCATCATAAATTTGTGAATTTCAGATTGAACATCTTGTCATTTCAGATTGTAGAGGCAAGAGTTCACCAGCTGGATTATGCTCTTGAACGTATCACCTTGTCACTAAGAGAAATAACGGTACTCAGGCTATCATTTTCTTGTTTCTATAATACGAAAAAATATTTTTGTTCTTCACAATTTTTTGATGTGCTTTCTGGCAGCCAGACCCACTGATGGAGGCCCTGGAATCAGTAGTCGGTGATCGTACTTCTTTGGGGGGTAGTCTTGAAGTAGCACCGGCTGATATTGAGGTCTTAACTTTCTCATATTGATAATTTTCTTCAATCATTGGTCACATTGTTCTGCACATCAGTATAACTTTGTTCATTTGACAATTTACAAGCTCTCATGAAGGTGTACTGAGTAGGAAGTATAATAACCTGCAGTTGTTTCCTCCCTCTGGAAAAACATGGTTGACAATAATATTGTTTTGTCAGGGTGGAGTACAAAATGTCACAATTTTGTAGTTCATGCATCTTTTTGCGTAGGAAATCTGCTGATATTCACTGTATTTCAAAGGAATACATTGAACCTTATGAATACCATCAAAACATATGTTGTAATTAAAGTTACATCATATGATCTGAAATACTTTCACAAAATTGCTGCATCCAGCTGTGTCACAAAGCAATTAAGACAGTCGCAGCATAATTAAGATTATCATATATAACTAGTGTCATGTGATCATCAATTTACTTTTTTACACTCCCTCATATAAGGAGAGCTTTAACAGATGATATTTTTTTGGTTGGATATTAATCTATGTTGATGTCTACACCTTATCAAATACACAAGACCTACTCATATCTTAGAACTGTATCACACAGATAATCATAGTGTGATGAGTATGTAAATTTACTTTATACTGGTTACTTTCAGTTTCACGATACACTTTTCTGTTAAATATAGATTTTCTGTTAATGTAGATACAGAATTCTAACTTAAGTTTGCTTTTACATATCAAATAAATAGTGAATTTATAGAACAAATCTGCCTTTGTCATCGTCTCTAACCATAGTTAACCTTATACCCAGTCTAGCTTTGTGCTTCACTCACTCACTGTAAATCTATTCTAGCCATGGGCTGATGTGGAATCACTCATTGAGGAACTCCAAAAAATTGATGAAGTTCAAAATGTTTCAAAAGGGCGATTCTTTCTAAGCCCAGGCTTAGCTCCAACCTTCCAGGTATTGTCAATACACTTGGTTACGTTATACTCTACTAAAACTATGCTTTTATCGAAGTCCTTTACTTGATTCATTGGTATTGCTGTAACTTTGCCACAGGTTTATATGGCTTCTATGTCTGACAATCAGTACAAGTTACTTGCTCGATATGGGAATAAGGTTCAAGAGGTAAGCTTTGATTTCCGATTACTCCGGAAGAAAATGCACAGTTATTTTCTCTAGCTATTTTTGAATAATTTCCAAATTTTCAAAAATTGCCTAATTCTGCTCTATATGCTCATTACAGCTCCTATTTCTTTCACAATTAATGTGTGCTGCTTTGATCTAGGCAGTAATATATGCTTCATGGATAAGAAGTTTTAGTTTTATCAAGCGTATGCTCGCTGTGTCTTATATCTCTGCTTTTTACAAAAAAGGTCATGTTGTCACTGCTGGCTACTAAGTAAATTGCTTCTATATGGGAGGAACTTCTTGAGTGATTAGGAACTCGATGAGTGATGAAAGACATTTTCCTTGTGATAGAGGTGTCACAAGTTTAGGCGTGTACGAAAGGTTTTTGATCTTCCATATATATAAAGGAGTATTGGGTATTATCCAACTTATTAGTGCCACACAAAAAAGGAAAAGAAAACAAAAGAAAATTTTTTGCTGCGTAACTATTTTTTTCCTTGAACCATTTGCCAAAGCTAACTGGGAGACGAAGCAAAAGGACCTTTCACTGTTGTATGTAGCTTTTTATTATTTCATAGTAAAATTGAGGGAATTTACATAATTGATCATTGTTTTTCTCAGGTTATAGTGCAAGCTTCGTTGGATAAAGAACAGATGAAGGCCACAATCTTAACATGTACAAATAGAGTGCAATGATTGGTCAAACGAATCAATGGAGATTGCTGTATATTCTCTTATATGGCCTCATAAATCAGTTTATGCCTATATTTTATTGGAGTTAGGAAATCTCATCATTGAGGGGACATCAAAGGTTCATAGTTATTTGCAAAATTGAGGCTTCACTTCGTAGATTATGGCTTGAAATCGAAAGCTGCAAGTCAGTCTATTTTCGAGTAATTATCCGCATGAAAACACTGTGAAAGTGTGAGGGAAGAGCTAAGCAACTGAAGGCGATCCGCAGCGTTTTTGTCCAGTCCAACTCCGAAAGAGTAAGGAGCTCAGGAAGTGTTGTATATGTAAAGATTGGAAGTGTTAAAAAGGATGGCGGGACTAATACTGTTATACATGAACCAACACAGCAAATATATCTTCATCTCATTGATGTTTGTTTGTTATAATTGTAATTTTTTACTTAGATTTTCTAGATTGTATGCAAGGACTGCTTGTCCTAGTTAAGCTAGTGTTATAATTTCATATGCTTATTGCAACTTCAAATTCATCAGGGAACTAGAAATATTTTCATTTTTCTTCCAGTCTTCTGATGCGTAACCAACCAGGTGTTTTGTGTTTGTGATTGCATTATTCGCATCAGCACATGCCAATGTAGCATGATTTGAATACATTAACCTGTGTGAAGCAGTAGAATGCCTGAGAAATTTTGTTATGAACAGTAGGAAGTTGAGGATATATTTTTTGTATGTTCAAACTTGAAAATAGAAAGAAAAAAAAAGTGGTAATACTAATACAGAAATGAACAAAGTGATGTTATTCTCTGCTTTTCAATGTCAATACCTTTTATATGTTGGCGGTTCGCATACATGAACTAATTTGCTAACTTAGTTTCGCTCATAAGAACTTTCTTGCTTTGGTAATGGATAAAGATTCATCCATAATGGATAAAGGTTTGATGGAGATGTCCCCTAATAGAATGGTTTTGAAGAATAAAGTTCATGCGGCCAACCCCAAACAATTAGGATAAAGACTTTGTTGTTGTCGTTTTAATGGATAAAGATTTATCGTTAAACAAATTTAATCAGTTATGTTCTTATTTTTATTATTAATTTGAAATAGTACAATAAAATTAGAACGTCATGATATTGACCATTGCAATTCATGAAGCAAAATAAAACGACAGGTCCTTTTTACAGTTCAAATAACAGAATATACTGGTCACTAAAAAAACATCACAACTAGACGGGGATGAAACATCCAGAACGAACCATAATTGGTTATTCCTTCACTGAAATATTCAGAGATAGTTGCAGAATCCTGAATTACAATCACGTCTTCTGTCATAAAGATTTTGATGAAGTAAGATCGATGCGTTCTGCAAAATATTTGACGTCCCCTTTGCTTGATGTCATAGATCTGAGTATTGATGCCTGGTAGAAGCACAAACATATCATAATTGCATAAATAGGTATCTTAGAGTCGCATTACACGTACCAGCACTATGAACCGATTCTTGACTGAGGTCCTAAACATATTACATTTTATGATATGAACCTATTCAGATGACAATTTTTCCAAAATAAACTGGCCTTCTGGTTCTTAGATAGATCAATAAGCAACTTTCTCTATATAAACAGACTATTCGTTTATTTAATTAACAAATGGAAGTTTTCTCTCCATAAACAAACTATTCGTTTATTTAATTAACAAATTGAACTTTTCTTCTACAATCATCACATGCATATAGTATCCAAATATGAAAAATGCTATAGTATCCAAACAGGGACATACCGCACTTTTTGATACTAGAATAGAATAGTGGAATTATCTAGACGCAAGTGGTCTCATAAGTAGAATTCTGGAACTTTAGGCTTCACCATATAATAATTTATACAAAGTGAAAATTAATCGTAGCTAGTATCTGAGGTAGGAAATGTGGAAAAATCATCACACTTAAGCAAGCCATGGCAAGAGCAATTTCAGGAAAAGTAACTGACTTCCTATAAAGATTCTCGCACAAGATGGTATGACTAATGATATCAGAACCTAACTAGCAAATGTGTAGAACCATCTCATATGAAACTAAATGCTAAGCAAAGTGTTAGCCTCAACTGTTGAGTATTCTGGATTTGGAGCATAATACCAAGAAATATTTGATGATCACACCAAATAACCAAAGTATAACTAAACTTCAAGATACCAATGTCCAATAGGAAAATGAATCAACATTCTTGAAATGCAGAAAAGGAACTTCTATACAGGTCAGTCATTTGGTATACCATTTATGCATGCATATGGTTACCTTTGGACGGGTCATAGAATTCCCGAAATAGCCGATTCCAAAAGATGATGAAGAGTAGGCTGCAACAAGCTCGACTGCCTTCAGCAACGATATGTTTCCTGTACTCTAATGAACAGAACCATCGAACTTGAGAGTTTTTCCAGATTGCTTAACGTCATCTTACAGAATATCACACTAACATTTGCATAAATTGACAGAAACCCCCTGAAAGTTCTAAAAGTCACAACTTAGCCCCTCCATTTTAATTTCTAAAATTAACTTGAAGGAATAAACAGTGATCATAGAATATGACAATTATATGCACTCCCAAATATACATGTATAGATGATTATTATATTGAAGATTGACGATTATTTGACTAAAATTCGAAAATGAGGAGAAGAAAGTGTCATCTTTTAAGAACTCAAGGGATTTCTGTAATTCCTACAAACCGTAGGGAAATTTTTGTAATTTGCCAGTTTGCTAAATGAAGTGTTGTGAAGGAGACTACCTTCAGAGCGTCCGCCTGCACAAGTAACACACCAGCACCTGTGTCATGGGACTGATAACTGCTATCCTGGACAACCGAACGTAAAACTTTTGTGCACGCAGATGCAGGGCCTGCCTGAGATCTGCAACCATGATTAGACTTGTTTAGGTTTTAATATATTTGTAACTATGCTTAAGGCATGAACATAAGCCAACATTTTGTATTAGTAGATCAAGTATGAATGTAAATAGGGGTGGTAAACGATCGAATCGAATAGAATACTAAGTGTTCATATTTGTATTTGTTTAAAATTATCGAATTCGAATGTGGACTCTAATATTCATATATCTAGTTTTTCGAATTCGAACTCGAATACTCGGTATTTGATAAATATTCATGAATACTCGCGAATACTTATCGAATATCAAAGTATATTTATTCCGCTAAAGAATTTAATTTTCAAGTAGTATTAAAATTCATAAATAAAAATTATTCCTTTATAATATATGATGTGTACATATTTAAATCAAATTTTAATTAGAAAACAGATTTAAGATTATTTAAGTCTTAAAATCGGTATATAAAATTAAGCAGAAATGGTAAGTGGGTTAAAAATACGACATCATATATGCAATAATACAAATAATAACCTGTGATCAATTTTAAACGAATATTTAATAGACAAACGAATCAAATATACATCTGGTCAAATTCTAATCATTAGCAAACTCGAATACTAAAAAATATTTGTTTAGTGTTAAATGAACTACCGAATCAAATATGACCAAATAGTTATTTGAACAATTAGCGAACTATTTGTTAACTATTTGGTTCATTTCCACCCCTAGTGGTATGAAAACCCAATGAAGTACAAACAATTTTTTTCAACGATTAGTAATAGTTTTAAAAAGATGGTTATGGAGAAATAGGTTTAAAGGCATCCAAATTTCATAATATTTACGCATTTATAGAAGGATCGATTTATAACATCTATGAGAAAAAAATTAATATCTTCCTATAGCTAGCTAATATCCAAGGATTAAAACTTCTTGAGGGCGTGGGAAGTAGATGAACTATACAACCAGCATAGATATAGTGAATCACCTATTCCAAAATCCTGAACAGACATTATATGTAGGACAAATTCAAAGGCTTTATCCGATGCGGATAATAGTAGATAAAGCTGTTAGAAATTTAATTTATGTCTGAATTTATCTGTAAGGATCCAGATAGGATATTTAACTTATCTTTTTTATTGAATTATCTAGATTTGAATTTACAGATTGTGCTAGGATGAGTTTAGTTTTAAATATATTAGAGACAGATATATAATAATTCTATTAAAGGAGATGAGATTTTCATTCTTTAGGCATGAAAATAATTTATGAATTAAACTTGAGAAATGTAATTTGCTTGTCCGATGGGCATATGATTTGCCAATATGTAAAGCCAAAAAAAGTTCATACGGTCTAATCTCAATTTATTTGTTTTATTATTATTATTATTATTATTATTATTATTATTATTATTATTATTATTATTATTATTATTATTATTATTAATTTGTTGTTTGATTTAGTTTTTGATACATTTATTTATACTATAAAATCTTTTAAAGTATGGGAGAAGCAATACCGGAACAGTCATAAATCTCTCCTTTATCTCCTCAATTACCAACATATTAAGTTTAGTCAAACTCTCTTTTCCTAAGACAATTTGTTATAGAAGTGATAATAGTACTAAATCTTTTAACAAATCTCCTATAAGGGTCTGTTGCAACTAGGGGTGCATTCGGTCCAGATACGGCTCGGATATGATGCTTACCATATCCATATCAGCTTAGATATACCTCGGTAAGGAAAATCCAAATCCATATCCGCTAAAATCGAATACGGTTACGGATATAAATGGGGATATATAAGCGGATATGCATGCGGATACAAAACGGATATGAGAAAACTAGATAGTATTGAGAAAAATATAGTTCATATGATACAAAAAAGTTCGTTAGTATGTTCATTATAACTAAAAAGCTAAAATTAGACATCTTGTCATTAAAATTAACCACAAATCCATAATCTAAGAATTGAAACTATCGTAAGAGTATGACTTATATGTATTCGGATATTTCGGATACGAATACAGATATTTCACTATAAAACCATATTCGTAACCATATCCTATTGGTTACAGATTTGAGTAACCATAAAATCCGTATCCTAATGGATACGGTTACAGATATTTCCTCGGATACGGATACGATTTAGCACCCCTACTTGCCACACACTACAAAGCCTATGAAGCAGACTGACCTAGACGTGAACATAGACCTCTTCAAATTGAGATACAAGTCTCCCTACGGAGGACATCTAAAATCTAGATCAAATAAAAGATACGTTCTTCTTTAGTTTTACTAAATATCTCTCATGTCTCCACTCCCGAAGAGAATGCTTGAACTTTCCCTGGTATCCAAATAAAAATTCCCACCCTACGGGATTGTCTTCGATGTTGAAATATCTCTAAAAATAAAATATAGTTAAGCATGGACAATTGACAGAATTGAAAAATAATTGTGCTAAATATAAGAATTTACCCAATAATCTTGATATATACTCTCCAGGACATGAAATGGCTGCTCCCAAGCCTCGTAATAGGGATTCACATTATCACTCCTCCGTATCAAACATCCAAGGTATGAGCTGAAGTTATTAGCCCATTGTCCGGTTGGAATCCCATTATGCCCCCATCTCACAATTGCTCGAAAACCATCCGGTGGTAACTTTTTTTAAAGTCACTTCCTTGGCGTCCTTTCTTCTGGTAAAGTTTTTCTCCTATAAAAAAATAATAATAGATATATCAACACTTTTATTTAATCAATCTTAAGCTCTTAGAATTTACTAAAAAAGGAAGAAGAAAAATTGTAAGGAAAAGAGAAACCTGAGAATATTATGTTTATTAGATATGGATACAATTATGGAAAAATTTAAATTTCAACATTCTGGAGATTATGTTTTTGATCAAATTCACCAAATCTTTGTCTGATTTCATTTTTTGCATCAGACAAAATCTCATCAATCTGTGGGGCCCATTCATCTAATCTTTTTTTCGCAAGCATGTATTTTTCGTTCTTCTTGAGTCTGTACCCCTCTGCACATGCTGGTAAGGGCCCGCGCTCAATCCCAGGAATGTATGCTCGAAGTATAACTGGAGGATCTACATATAATGGTATGTGAGTCGGCTCTTCCTCACCCTCACCTATAAAAAAAAAAAAAAATTATCATTGTGCATATATCATGAATAAAAATACGTAAGTTAAACTAAGTTATACCTGACATCTCTCCTGAACTCGGAGGCTCTTCTTCAGTGGATTGGTCTTGACTGGGGTTAGCTTCGAATAACCTCCTGTTAATATTTTTAGACATCTGCAAGTTGAATAAACATACAAATTAATATAACATAGATGCAAATTGGCTTGGCAAAAATAAAAACAATATGTATTGTTACGTTACTAAATTTTTCATTTCACATCAAGTTTGTAGGCATTTACAAGCTGAATATACAAAATAAGATATTACGTATTTATGTCGTCCAAAAGGTAATTGAGATACATTGTAGTGATATTAAAGTTTTTCATTATACAATTTACAAACTAAAAAAAGTTACACGAAGAATTGATTACAAATAATTGATGTTTAGCTCCTATTAATGTCTGTGATAATATTTGGAATGTCTGTCCGAGTTGTTTGAGTAACCATAAAATCCGTATCCTAATGGATACGGTTACAGATATTTCCTCGGATACGGATACGATTTAGCACCCCTACTTGCCACACACTACAAAGCCTATGAAGCAGACTGACCTAGACGTGAACATAGACCTCTTCAAATTGAGATACAAGTCTCCCTACGGAGGACATCTAAAATCTAGATCAAATAAAAGATACGTTCTTCTTTAGTTTTACTAAATATCAAGATGTCAACAAAATTGAAAACAATAAAGTTTCCCAGAAAGGGCATACAGTTTGTATCATGACCCTCATAAAAGTATTAGGTGCATTGGACAATCCAAAGGGCATAACTAACCCCTCGTATAATTTGCCTTTTAGATAGTTCAATGAACCTAGTACTTTTAGAGTCATGCTATAGATTTTAGGTCCTTTCTTAGGAACGTTTCTTGTTGCCTAGTTTTATGACATTTTGATATTTAGTTATTTAGTTAATTAAAAAACAGTGTGTTTTGATTCAGATTTTAGATGACCTTAAGGAGAAATTGTATATCAATTTGAAGAAGTGTTTGTTTATGTCCACATCAATTTGCTTCATAAGTTTTGTAGTGTGTTGCATCAAACCCTAGTAAGATAGTGACCTACTCCTACAAATATTAGAAGTTTTCATGGACTTGCTAACCTTTATAGAATTCAATACTACTATGGCCCCAATAATGAATTGTTTTAAAAAAGAAGAGCTTCGATGGATTAACTCTGCTCCTACTACAGGACAAATTGTCTTAAGAAAGAAGGGCCATAATGGATTAATTTTGCTCCTACGCCTAGAGGATTTGAGGAGGTAAACTACAAACTTATCACTGCTCCAGAATTGCATCTCCTAGAGTTTTCTATGATTTTGTAGAGAAATATATATATATCTAAGGTTAAATTGAATGAACAGATAAATTAAGATTAATAAGATTCTCAAATAGCATCCATAACCTTTTTTTAGTTCATGCCTTGGCAAATCGCATGCTTATTGAACAAGCAAATCACAAGCTAAATCCTCTCAAATTTTACTTCACAAATTTTCTTCATACACAAACAATGAAAAAGTTTCAACTCCTTATATAGAGTCGTAAACCTATCTCTAATATATTTGAAATTTAAGGGGAAAAAATATCATCCTAACACAAGCTAAAATTCAAATATAGATAACTCAATCTAAAAGATAAATTTAAACATCCTATCTAACATCCTAAGAAATAAATTCAACTCTATCCTATCTAATATCCTAAGAAAAATTCAAATCTAAAGTTAAATTCCTAACATTTTTAATCTAGTTTGAATTTGTCCTACATCATGGGAGGGGAAGGTTTAAAACTTAATTGAGTTATGTGGTTAAAACGTAAGGAGTAATGTGTTAAAAACTAAAAAAAGCACAAACTGTGTGAAAGTATATAGAGAGCAAAGAAGAGTTCCACTAGCAAGGAAAAACACAAGAAAATAAAAACCCTGCATTCATGCACAATGTCCGTAGGAATAATACAATGATAACTATGGATGTCAGGTTAAGGGAAATACAATGATGAAGATACACAGCATTCACGTGCCGCAAATCCTTTCATCAAGTACTCTCCAGCACCAGTTGCACAACACGCAACATTAAATGGAGCTCCAAATGCATCTTTCGAGGAAGCCCAACAGCCAGATCCATACATTGCAGCCAATCCAACACGCCCATCTATCTACAAAACCAAATTTTATGTTAAATTGGGTAACATGAAAGTAGAAAACATATCGCTTTTCAAATGCATGAAGAGATCATAGCAAATAGAATATCTCTAACACAACACATGTGTGCAATATTTTTCATCATGTATAGTATGTATTGAGAACAAAACCAAGAATGAATATAGTAAACCCAACTTGTGACTTTCTCCTATAGGTTTATCAAGGGTAAAAGCAAACATGAATATTCTAACCACAAGTAAAAGTAAATTTATCCATAGAGCATAAAATCGAATCTAGAATATGTTCACAGGAACACCAAAAAGAAAAGGGAGGGGAAAAAAAGAAGTGAAGAAAATTACCTTTAATGCAATACCACCACTTGATGCCCCCGATGCTACATGTCCAAAATTGTCAACACAGATAGCTCCCACAGTATCCATTATGCAATCCTCTTCGAAGCTAACTTTATGGTGTGATCCTCCTTCAGAATTTCTTGTTTCCCTTTTGACATCGCTGAACGTTACTGCTATGTAAAGAACAATAATCAGTGACAAGATGAGGTACATACCAAAGACTGATTAAAAATATACATAAGATAACATTATCGATATAGTAAAACTTCGTACAACTAATATCATTATGCATGAATTTCACTAGACCTACTGCAAGTTTAAGCCTTCATCCTACTAGAAACGAATAGGCAGTAATTAAATAATTTGCATCAACTTTATCAACATAAGCATCATGAAGATTATTTTTGGGATATCGTTCAATAACAATCAAATTAAAACACCATCCACCAGCAGCACAATGGCATGTATTCATCATCATCATATACTGTCAACACCATCTTCACTATTGTTAGAGCATAAAAATATATAACCCTTACCAACTTTGGAGTTTTGGAGCAGTGACAGGTTCTTTCTTTAAGATGGTATCACAACAATCCAGGTTCAATTCGCCCACCAGCCATGACTTTAAAGCGGATTTAATAAAAAAATTTGGCACTGCTGCACTAGTCCTGGTTTCAGTCCATAAAAAGGGCGCTCAGTTGCGAGGAAATGTTAGTATAAAAATATAATCCTAAACCCTCACCACAATTGCGGAGTTTTGATGCCCAGGCATGGTCTTTAAACATCATTGATGGGTGCCCCGTTAGGGGTTTTATAATGCCATAAACATTTGCAGGCTTCTATACCATTTCTGAAGTAAATACTCCATGGACAATGCACATGACTGTGCTGGATGTTCTCAAATATTTCAAACTAAAACTTCTTATGTTTTGGATTCCGAACTTTTGTTTTCCTATGTCAATCTTTTTAGATGTACATTTTTTACATTGGAAATCTTTTTGATCTTATGATTTTATAAGGATGTGTGAACATGTGAAGTAAGATGATATTCACTTGATATGCCAAATAATGTCATTTTTGCTATTTAATTTTCTTCCTATTCTCATATATCAAAAAACTATGACATTATGATTATTGTATTAGTTTGTCCTTTCTAATCAGCGTTTCACAGCGTGTTTTCATTTTTTTCCCCTTGAGTTTTCCCCTTTTGCGAATTATTCCATTTGGAAATTTTTCGCTTTTTAAATTTATATGGTTTTTGGAATTTCTTTTTATACGGGTTTTTTCTTCGATAAGGCTGAGTACAACCATATTCTAAATGATACCCTTGTAACTTATCACAACAAGATGGTCCAAGAGTACATCTTTAAGTTACCTTTTGGTCTGTTTAAAGGTCTTAGAGAGTTAAGAGTACTGTTCTAAAAGAGTCATGGGAATTTCCTTCTTGTCAATAGTTCAAAAAATAACAGGAAGATTTTTGACTTTTCAGTCATCGTAGTTGCCTTAGCATTAAAGGATGTAATAATCTAAGGATTATGCATTGCCTTCTATATGATGAACGAACAAATTCTCCTCTAATAATGCTTATATTGACTCCAGTGTCTATTAATGTATAAAGCATAAATCGTCCATATTCTGAATATGCAACTGTCATACTTGTAAAATAGTTGACTCTTTTTTTTTAATCTAGGTTCAAAGGATGAATCTAGGTTCAAAAAATGCAAAAAATGCTTATATTGGTTCCAGTGTCTATTAATGTATAGAATATAAATCGTGTATATTCTGAATATACAAATGTTGTACTTGTAAAATAGTTGACTCTTCTTTTTTTAATCTAAGTTCAAAGAATGAATCTCTTTCATTATGTCTTAGGGGTGATTACCGGACATCTTGGTTTCTCCACATGAAGGTGAATACTTTTTCGTGGATTCAAGATTTCCTCATGCTCTTTTGTGGATGAACTAGAGTCTTCCTCTTTTCGAAAGAGAGACTCCATAATTTTGGTTGATTTATATATGTAGGTCTTATTATATTACCAGAAACAATAGATGTTCTTCATGCATCTGTATCTTTGCGATGGCTTAAATAACTTAAATTGATCTCTAACTCAGGCTCAATTTTACAGTCATTTAAACTCACTATTCAAGGTTGTATTACCTTTCCAGGTTGTACTTTGAAGAGACTAATTACTTCTCTAGATGTGTTACTAAAGAAGGTTGACATCTGGCTGAGTACTATTATAGATTCCCACTGTATTCCTAACACTCGTGTTTCAGGTTTCTATCTCAATTCCTTTGAGATTAATACTTAATTTTGTCACATCACATATGTGAGGATCATGAAGAGCAACAGAATAATTTGAGTGAATATTGACACCAAAAATTCTGTTGGCTAAATTGAATTTACATCCTATTAAGGCATCTAATAGATTAGAAATAATTTTTTCTTCCATACAGAGTACCATAATAGGTGTATTAATACTAGACTAAAATTGTTCAGTAATTTTGACTCGAATAAGTCTAAGATGAAGATATTTTATATCTTTATATGTTTCTCTCAGTTTATTTATTTTTCTTTAATTAAGGAGTGGAATGCTTTTAAAGCTATCTTTCCCATATAGCTCGATGTTAGCATCAACCCGATCAAAAATATAATACTGTTTATTGAGGAATTTAGTATTTAAAATACTCATTTTTCTATAAACATCATTTCTATGAGTTTTGGGAATGGCTAACTTTAACTGTTCTATATCCTCATCCGAAATAGAGATTCTCCCCTTGGAGATCATGTATATCAATTTCAGAGATTGTATATCTTCTTCAGATCTTATGATATACTATTTGTTTCTTTATTCATCATATAGATTTGAGGGTATTCATAATCCCCTTCACCTTTTGTGTCTGATTCCGATATTAATTCATAATATGAATTGTCGGAATCGATTTGGAGTTGATTATTAATCTCTATGAGATCCAATTCAAATTCAGATATGTCTTCTTCTATAACTACTTCATTAGTAGTTTTCTTTTTAGGACATCCATTAGTATAGTGGCCAACTTCTTAGCATATAAAACATTTGCATTTTTTGAATTTCGGGGTTCACAGTGTATTTTAATTTTTCTTTCTTGAGTTTTCCCCTTTTGCGAATTGTTCCATTTCAAAAATTCTCGCTTTTTAAATTTATATGGATTTTAAAATTTATTTTTTGTAGGATTTTTTCCTTCGATAAGGTTGAGCACAACCATATTCTAAAGGTATCCTCTTATCACAGCAAGATTGTCAAAGAGTACTACTATCTTTAAGTTTCCTTTTGATCTATTTAAAGGCTAAGAGAGTTAACAATATTGTTCTAATTCTCTTAATATAAAAATTGAATAACTCCACTAGATCTGTCTTGCTCAGGGACTTTTTGCAAATATGATTCTTCTAAGAGAGTATCCATGGTCTAGGCAATTTTTTAAATATTTGTTTTGTCTACTAGTTCATTTGTTGCTTATTTTCAAGTCGATAAACTAATTTAAAATAATCCATTAAAAATTATTCTATGTTAGTCCATTTGTTGCTTATTTTCAAGTTGATAAACTAATTTAAAATAATCCATTAAAAATTATTCTATGTCCGGATCAAGTTTGTTTAGAGGCTGACCACAAAAATCTTAACAGAATTGATTCATTAAGACAATCATTTGTTGTTTATTTCCAATCATCTTCTACTGTCAAAATTTTTATTTTTTCTTTATTATATTCTTTTATCACCTCTAATAATTTTACCCAGTCAGCGACTACACCGTCAAACAATGATGTAATGTATTCTATGAATTCGGGTGTCCTCCACTCATAGAAATGTGTTAACCCAATAATATGTTGGGTCCATCTATTAATATAATTCGTCCTTTCTCTAGTTGGGATGTTGTCTATGTTAACATAGAATCCTCCCGCACTAATAGGATTATGATTTGTTGCTTCTTCATACATATGTTTATATGTAGCCCGAATATGTGTTGGTAAATCCCCTCGCTTTCTTCGCGAAGATGGCATAGACACGGATCTTGACATTTTAGGGATCGCAGCGAAGTTGTCCATATCGCTGGATTTAAATTTATAAGAAGACTGTTGCGATTGTGGAGGTGGATTTGATGTAGGCGATTAATGTGGAGGTGGTCCTATGACCGAAGATTCTTCTTGCGCCATACTAATGACGGGGGTATCTTCATATTCGCTAATTTCAGATGATAAATTGTCTTGACTATCATCAGAATAATAGTTTAGTAAGATTTATTATTATCTAAAAGTTGATTTGCCACTGTAAAGCAACAAATTTTGTTTGTGGATTTTGTACTTGTGTTTAGGTTTGATTTGTTGTCTTAACACAATCCTGTTTGAAGGATACAAAGTTTCAGGTTGAAGGATATCTGTTAGACCCTTTATTTTCATCATCATACTGAGATGATATGTCCAATGCCACATTCGAGTAGAATTTTCATTATTATGGTTTGGGCTTGTTCTTCCTTTGAATATTATTTGCATTCAAAAGATTTGATTTCTTCAATTTGTTTTTGAAGATTTAAGATATTTATATTAATATCCTCAAATGGGTATATCATATCAATTATAGAATTTAACATGGATGCTAAATTTTGGTTTGTTAGGGTCTCATTAAAGTCTTTTGGCAGATGGAATAAGTGCTTGTAACTTTTGTGTTTAGCACTTAGTTTGCAAGTTTCTTGGATTATTCTAGACATTTTTTAAAGGTCATCCTTTGAATATTATTTGCATTCAAAAGATTTAATTTCTTCAACTTGTTTTTGAAGGTTTAAGATATTTATATTAATATCCTCAAATGGGTATATCATATCAATTGCAAAATTTAACATGGATGCTAAATTTTGGTTTGCTCTCATTAAAGTCTTTTGGTAAAGTCTTTTGGTAGATGGAATAAGTGCTTGTAACTTTTGTGTTTAGCACTTAGTTTGCAAGTTTCTTGGATTATTCTAGACATTTTTTAAATATTATCTTTCTCCTCCCTCTACTTCTTCTTATTTTGCTTAATTTTTACTATATTTATTTTTATTTTGTTTGTTGATCAAGGATTTGACCCTTCTCTCCGACAAAACACATACTGCCTGAGCACGGTTTTCTGTTCAGACTTTGGACTCGAAACTGGCAACACTCAT